TTGTTCTCGCTCCTATTGGGAATAAGTGGGAAGCCTTGGGGCGAAAGAGGCCCGATATTTGATTTCTATCCGCAAGAGGTCGAGTGGGACATTATAAACTTATATTCTACGCTACAATAAATTAATAATTAAGTCTAAAGGTTCGAAATATTCCGAACAGTCGCAATTTTTGTAATGGGCAAATACGAAAGATCGAATAAGACAATATTCGAACCCTGAAATTCGATGGAATAGGTTGGAGTTCGGGCCAGGGGTTGAGAGAAGCGAGCGGGAGGAGGCCCAACCCCGCTTACCTTCTCTATTTAATTCAATGCACATACTTTGTGATAACGAGGAACGGACGTAACTTACTAATTGGAATAAAGTATTATTCAAACAATAGCGTACGTTTTCGAAGCGGCCGCCATATTTACTTTCGTACGAATTATGGAAATACAGTAGAGCGTCGATTATCCGAATCAATTGGGGACTGGAGTTGTTCGGATAAACGATTATGTACGAAAAAATAGTTTATCGTATCCGATGTTGAAATTTTTCTCCGTTGCGTGTCGCTTCGCGTTGAATTTTCGTCGATGTTAAGCCTAACTAAGACTATTGTATCGTTAAAAAATTTTTATTTTGTACCAATAGAACAAATATATTGAAAAATATAAAAACAATAAAAAAAATACTTCAGAAGTTAATTTAGTATCAAAAACGTAAATATTTGAGTAGCCGAAGACATAGCCAAAGATGTTAGCGCCACAGCAATTGCGAAAATTTAATTTGCCGACTGGAATTCTTTCGGATAATCGACGCTCTACTGTATATTTTTATCTTCGATTCGATTGGCTTTTTGCGATTTATTTATTGTTTAAACTACTTAAAACTGCAGTAAGAAAGCCAAGGGTGTCAAGGTTTACTGTTCCTTGCACTCGGTCGTCTGCCGTAGGATAAAAAATGGCGCTGGGTTCGCCTTGCCGGTTGTTGTTGTTGTTATGGCAACGCAACACTTCGGCGATCTGCGTAGGGGATGCCTTCCGGGAATCTTTTTAAGGGAAACTGGCCTCTATTTAGGCGTTACAGACGTGGAGAAAGCCCGTCCAAGCGAGGCGCGAATCCACGACCGAACTCCCAGTGTTCAGGGTATGAAGACTGTTTGGCCACTGGTGGGCCACCTTGCCCGGTTGAAAAATGGCGTTCGGGCAATTCCACACATCAACCAATTGTAATTTGAAAATATACCCGTTTGGTTACTAATTTTTTATTCGATATTTATAAGATAGAATGGATGAGTGTCAATCCGCGTCACTGCGTTATTTCCTTAGAAATACAATAAGAAAATAAGAAAACAATGGACACTTAAAATTTTACGCCATACCAACGAAATCTTTTCCAAACCAGTCGTTACTTTTCTGTGGTCGTACTTTTTTGCTGTTTTCATAACCGTAAAACGAAAAATTACGATGGAAGCAATATATTTAAAACCTTTCTGGGACTTTTTGTATGTTGGACACTTCTACTGTGACGTAGTTTTCGTGCTACGTGTTCTGCTAGCACGTGCATCCGTACGACGATCGTGACCAACGGAGTGCTAATCGGAGTCTGATCGAAATACCAGCATTTAAGGTGTTCGTATTGGTCGAGCACAACATTTGTGACGCAACAGCTGTAAACGGCTTAAATGCTCTAAAAAATGAACTATATATTGGTAATCGCCCACCAGTGGCCGAGCGGTCTTCGTACCCTAAACACTGAGTTCGGTCGTGAGTTCGCGCCGCGATCGGACAGGCTGGCTGCTTGGAGTTTTCCGGGTTTCTCCTTGCCGATAACGACTAAATAGGAGGCCCGTTCCCCATAAAAGTCCTCCCGGAAGGCATTCTTTTTCCTCGCGTAACATCGCGCCCCAGAGAAGGCAACGGGAAACCACTCTGGGTACTAACCTTCCCTAGTAACACCTTGGCGTATTATTAACTACTTACTAATCTGCGCCGGGTGTCGCCGACGTCAGAAATCTGATATGGCACCAAGAAGAAGAAGATATTGGTAATCGGCCGTGGTACATTTTGTTTGGCCATTGTTATAAACAGTGCTACAAACAAACCAGAGTTCTAATCGTTGTTGGTGAACATTTTGATCGATTTTTATTTTCGTCGCAATGTTCCTTTCAGAGCGGTCAAAGTGGCAGCCTACCGCTTTGGGGGACCCGGGATCGAATAATCCACAGGAATTTTTTGGAGATACGGTCCGCGTCCCTCACCACCCGGCCGCCCCGTTGTGGGCCTGGCCGAACCTGTAATGGGCTTGCAAAAAGAGACCTTCTTAGTGCTCACAGGGCGGAAAAGTTAAAAATAAAAGCCTGTATTTCTTTGTCTTTGTATTCGCCATTTTGCATTTTGATTTTCGGCAAAAGAAACAAAAATCCGGATAATTTAAAAAATTAAATCGATTGTTCTCCAAATTGCAGACAAATACCTGAAATTCCGCTATCCGGCACGTTCAAATTACGATTGTTTTCAATTACGTCACATCGTATTTTTCATTCCTTGTATTGCGACCGAGATGTAACATTGTATTGCTCTCGGGTACATTCCCACTATATTCTATACACTTCCATTGTGCTGTATTATGCTGGGAAAGTATCAATACACTGTATAGTGTAGCGCTCTACACTACAATAAAATACACTACACAAATACTGTACTAGTTCTTCAGTCAGTTCGTGGATGTAACCTGGATTGATCTTGCGTATGCGAAAATCTGTATTTTCTTGTTACGCCATTATAACTCGTGCGTCGTTGTTATAACGAACATGCAACTCTCTCTATTGTATTTCTGTATTGTGATTAGCGTGTGGACCCCGAACCAGAAATTCTATGGAATCTTCCGTAAATAATAACCACAAAGATAATAGAATATCGTCAAATAATACCCGTTCGTATTCCCAGCAAAGTCACGTAATGGCAACATCTACTTCGGAATAATACAGTACGCGAATAATATAGTATCGCCAGACCTATAAAGGTAAACACAACCCGCTTATAGCGTTTTCAGAGATATCGCTTTGTTATCGCACATTTATCGCGCTGCTTAGCGCCCGTCTGGTGTTATTACGCACCAGAATTTTCCTGGAAGTGTTTTTCGGATAGTCGTTTAGATGTCGGGTTCTGGTACCAACCACACGATTGGAGAACACAACTATCCACTTGTGTAATATGCGGGTTTGAAGTCCCTATTTTGGATAACCTGTATTAAATTTAGTATTGTGACGTTCCCGTTCGATCTTATCAGCAAATCGCTACCGTTACGTCGGCTACGCGTGCGTAACCTGCGATTTATCGTGACGCGATCTCACTTCCAGGCTTAAAAATGGTCGTCCTAGTGACGTAACCACGCGGAAAACACCGATAAACGCTAAACGAAGGTAAACAGTGATGTTTGCTCTGTTGGTCGGGGGTGTACGCGTGGCATCGATTACGCCGAGGGGCGTGGCGCGTTAATGTCTGGCCGGTCGATTCTTAACGTTAATGGAACGGTGGCCTTCTACGAAGCGCTAAAGGCGTCGATGGCGTGACCCGTAGAGACTCCGAACTATCGATCGTCACGCGCTATTAATCGATTTATCGCGCCGATCGCCGATCGCGCGATACCGGAAACCAACAATTCGCGAGTTTCGCGCTCCCATCTAGCAGTAACGGGAGAAATCGCTTCTGTGTCGCGTAACGGCAACTAAAGAACCGTTAATTATTGGTAAGGGCGATGCGTTACGGACGTAACGTTTTCTTTTTTTCTTTTCCCAAATCTTTGCACAAATTCGACGCGTAATGCCATCCGAGCTTGAAAATTAGCTTTCTCTATAGTTTATCGCGTCGCGTCGCGTATACTAAGATTTCGGTAGGTGTAAGGTTGGCGTGACGTTACGCGATGTTATCTTATGTAACCCATTTTAAGAGATGGTCTTAACTGTTACGATGGCGCGAAATATCTGCTGTTCTTGTTTATTTCGGGTTACGATAATTACTTTCAAAGATCAACTTCCGCTTTATAACGTACGTTACGTTTTCGTTAAAAAGCGTTTCTTCCCGTTTCCGTTTGCGAATTACAGAAAAATGCTTCGGGAAATCATCGAAAATAATCGCAACGCGACAAGAATCGCTCGCCCCTTAGCTACTAGTAACGGTCCGTCACACTTGGTAAAAATCGCATACGTCCTCCAAATACGGCTCGTTCGTTATATCGAGGAGAACGTTACGGGTCACACGAACGAAATTAATAACGAACCTACCGGAAGTTAATTACTCCCTTCTAATCGATGTCGCGTCACGTGACGGCGATTTCCAGAAATAATTGCGCAAAATCGCGCGTACGTTCGACAGGACGAATTTTTTTTTTCTTTTTTTTCCTAGCGCTTTCGCTCGCGTTTGAAATGTGAAAATGGCGTTTGGGGATTGCGGTTAAAGTAATTGGGGACCGCGATAACGCGACACTAGAAAAATGCTGTTATCTGCGATATTTTTTTTCCTTACTTTTTAAACGTCACGACACGCGAGTTAATCGATTGGCACGCGCGTCACGTGACTGCACCCGCTCGCCCGTTTACGCTGCTATTAAATCGCGCGATCGATTTTTCGTCACACGAGCCGCTGCCGGCGAAACTCGGCTGCCAAAAATGATTGGAGAAAAAGCTACCGGAGCGGAGAGCCCGCCCTACCCCTCCCAAGGCGAAAAATATGGCCCTCCGCGCTCGGATGCGCGTCACGTGACAGAGAGGGAGCGGGAGGAGGGCTCGGCCTTCACGCTCTCCCCACCGGCGAAGCGAGAGAAAAATCGCCAGCGAGGTACCCTGACTAGATCGAAGGCTAATAATAATAATAATAATAATTTTTGCAGTCGAGGCGAACGGATACGGCGTCGAGCGATTAATCCGGATTTATTAATATCGGAAGGTGGGGAAAAAACGCCGCTTACACACGCGACTTCCCGCTGTGACGTCACGAACGGGGTAAAGTAAGTCGTCATTGGTGCGGTGACGTCAGGGGAGGTTAGGCGAGCGACGTTTCTCTTTAAAAACAGCTTCCAGAAATGGCCACTAGGTATGCTTAGACGCGGGGGTGCCGAGCGACGGAGTGACGACGACGCCGCTTAGTGCGCGGCTTCTACACATGACTCGACGCATCACACTACTCAGACACGTGTCGGACGTGTACCGGGAGAGCGGTAGAAGACGAGGGATTCGCAATATGTACGTGCCAAACGTCTCAGGTAGGTGGAAGGCGTTCGGGGGACCGGCGAGTAATGGCCGCGTTGCGGAACGTCTGCCGGAGGAGGAGGGGTGAGGAGAGAGGTCGGAGCGGACGACTCCATTGATTTAACCTTGATCTTGGTTGTTAGCCGTCTTCGACGTCGCCGTCCGTCGTTCCCCGCGCGCATCCGCCGTCGCCTAAGTCAAAATTTCTTTTTTGTTTGTTTTTTCCTCGTTTTATTGTTTCCTCCGCGGCGCGGCCGAACGTGGCCGTCGATCGGCTCCGAGTCGCGCCATCTTACGGCGCCGGCCGGCATCAGCCCGAGCGCGGAGGAGTCGGGTTCGGTTGCGGATTTATTTGATTTTTTTATTGTCGTTTTTCGGCCCGCGACCAGGCCGGGCGCGAGACAAAAGCCGGCGCGGTGAACGACCTCGGAAGACGTCAATTGTCGACGGTGTCGGGTATTAATTCGGTAACAATGAAGAAAAAGGGCCGAAGAATGAGTCAGACGGCGACGGAGGGAAGAAATGGAAACGAATGGGAGAGAAACTCTGTCGGAGGAATGACACTGCCGTCACGTGCGCCGGCCGAACCCCGCGGACGGAAACGGAAGTCGCTCCGTCGATTAACTAAAAAGGTCTTTATAGGAGAGTCGCGGTGGGTAAAAGGTGAGACGGCTACGAAAGCGCGCTCGACGTCGCGTCGCCCGGCCATGCTACGCGACGTGAAAGCTCCTCCGAGCCCCCCACTACGACCGAGTTACGCACGCGTCACGGCCCGTCGCTCTCGACCGGTTTTGGGGGAAGGGAGCGAAACGGCGCGCGACCTTCGACTCCCTTTGGCAAACGTCACCGCGGGAGAATCGAACCTGGCGCTGGCGCTGGCGCTCGCGTGTTCTCGTTTCTCTCCCACTTCTCCGGCCTAGGCGGCGCTGAGGACGCGACCTAGAGGATGAATAACGAAGTAGGTCGGTAATCGCTGGTTAATTACCTCCGGCAGGACGCGCCGACGATGACGTCCTCCTTCGTCCCGAATCGCGTTAATGGTAATCCTCTTTCCTGGCGGGGATTAACGTCACCGCGCTGTTTACCCGAGCAATTATCCTATGCTCCCGTCTGAGCGTCGACGGGCGCGTCGCCGCGTACGTTGTATAAATTAAGGCTTTCTCTCCGACTCGTACCTCTACGCCGAGCCTCGTTATAATGTCGCAAACCGGTCTACGCGTCGGATTTAGGGTCTGATGATACTCGACCAAAGTATGTCGTAAGGATGAGTGCACGATAACGCGTGCCTGCACGCGTCGCCCTCGCATTTTAGATAAGTTTTTTCGATTGCGCAATTCGCGTGGTTATGACGCGTCTCGAATAACTCGCAAGAAATCGCTCTCGGTAATTTACCACTACTTTCAAATATTTTTTAAACGATCTCCTTGATTGGCCCGGCTGCCCACGTGACGCGTCGTCGGCGAATAATTAAAACGTCGGACATTCGGCCCGACCAATGGGCGTTCTTCCGACATTTTCGACCCCCTGGCGAGCGAAATTAAATTCCCATCTATCTCGGAAATTCGACGATAATTTGTAACGAGATTCGTAACTGGCTAGCCTAATTAATTTCGTCGTCGTCGTTCTTAATTATAATTTTTATAACGACCCCGGTTAATCGGAGGTAACCTTCTAGAAATCTCGTTTCCGCCGTCCGTATATGGCAGCGGCGAGAAATAGCGATCGGCGTGGAAAATTATTTCACCACCTCCTCCCCCTCCCCGTAGGATGCGGGGCGATGTGAAAAAAATCGATTTGTAATCGATGGCGAACGCATTCCCCTCGCCTGTTCGATATTTTTGCGCCTGCCAATTGCGAAATTTCTCTTATTTTAGTCAGCTTTCACTCCGGGTTTTCCCACCGCGAGTCGCCCTTAAATTCTCGACGGGCACCGATTCTTCTGGCGTGACGTAACACGAAATATCTACCTTTTTTCCCCCTTTAAATTCTTGTCGTTTTTTTTCCCAAATTACGTTACGGATATTTTTGGAAAATCGATTAATTTACCATTCAGAAATTTCGAAAAGTCGCTTCGGCTTCCCCGCGATTCTCTTTATTATTATTATTACTGTATTATTATTTTTTTAAAGCAGACGAATTGGGTTTCGACCAATAGCGGCAACGTTCGCCGACCACGTGACCGGTTTCCAATTTCAATTTCTGCCTCTTCTTTCCAGTATGACATCATGAAGTCCGAAGAATTAGAAGAAACTCCGCTGATCGTAGCCGTTTTGACTTACCTGGGATACGGTATTTTAATTGTTTTCGGACATCTGAGGGACCTCCTTCGCAAAATAGGCTTGGAAGAGAAACACTCGGCTTCCGAGAAGAATAGACAGGTAAGCCCACCTTCCCCTAATCGAACCTAACCTTCACTCGACTCGTGTGCCCGAGTGCTTTGTAGATTCGTATGTCCCTCTTCCGTTTTTTCTGCTATTTATACCGTGGAACGACCGAGTTTTCCGCCAGTCTGTTACGATTTTTAATGTCGTTTACCTCGCCGTTACTAACGTAGACGTGTGCTTTTTTTTTTTTTTTTTTACCCCCTCCTGCCTCTTTGTGTATGAGATGTGTTTGGAAATACAAAGGATGGATGCTCGATGCGTGGCGATTTTAAGCGATGTTTGGGCGTGTGATGTCTTAAAACTATTCGTAATGATTATATTTTAGTGGTGTTTGGAACTAGAATGTTTTGGATCCTTCGTAGGGCAATTAGTCGCACTTTGGCGAAATTGCACGCTCGCGGCCTTTCCGGCCGGCGGATCCGGAACCGTTCCATAGAGGCAGTGTGCGGCTGCGTTAACAATTCTGGCATTTTAGAATGCATTTCTCCAAAACAAAGCCGCGATAGACTCCAGCAGTTTTGGAATTTTGGCCCGGTTTTCAAAGGAACGGCAGAGCCGGTTGCCCGCTCGGGCTTTTAAAATGGGCCGATTCTTTCCGAGATAATGCTTGAACCTTTCCGTAAAGAGTGGTTATTTTTGAAAACGGTTTGGTCGATGTATTTTAAAGCTTTGGCATGTTTCTCTGTGCATTCGATAGTCTGTGAGGTTTTTACTCGTACAAAGATAGAACGCCTTCCTAGTATCTAGTTCCTAAAATAAAGGTGTTTTTCTTCCGCTCCCCGTGACACGCTTTACAACGTGGTTCTTTTCTTCCTTGCGGTAACACTAATTAATTTATCCGAGAGGTCTAATTTTAGTCTACCTGGCATTTCGATGCTTGCCGTGAAGTTAAATTTGAGAACTGATGCCAAACGTCCTGTAAATAAAAAAAATCTATTATGTATACTGTGTAGCTTTCCTGATTAAAATGTGGAAAAAGATCGGAAGGGTGAATTGCCATTTATGAATAATGAGTATATAAATCTCTATGGATTACCATCTCCCTTATCTTTTTCGTAATATCGCTAATTTTTGCATTAATATCCAATTAGTAAATTGCCCGTTACTGTCGGTTGCATTATTTTTATCTGCTAAATGGAACGGATTAATATTAGTTCTGTTAGATAAGGTTTTTTCCTTATTAATGTATTGTGATGTCGTAGTAAAGATCGACTGTGTTAAATTTTTCATCGGATGACTAAACTTAAAACTTTTGCTTTTAAGGGATATGTGCCGCTATATAGAAGTTTCCAGTGTTTTTACACAAGAAATCTCTTCAGAAGAGGAGCCGATTGCGTCAACAAACCGATCTGCAGCACCCCCGGTGCGATAATTGACATAAAGGATCGTGTGTCCAATGACTACAACTGGCATTTCACGTAAGTTGCCTTCCAAAAACTATAGAACTTCGCGTTCCAAATTTGCTTAACTATATTTGTGCGTCTACTTTGGAAAGAAGAGTATACAAACAGAAATTGTGTTTATCGTCTTGGCAGAACTCCAAAAGTATAATATATATACTCATCTGTTTACATAGTTGGTATGTAAACAGTTAAATATTATATCTTGATAATGTTTTTCTCTATCTTTGATAACCTTAAAGATTGTCACCTTGATACGTATCGATCCATCACCGAATACTGCTATTTATAAAAACATCCGTTAATGTCCTGAACTTCAAAATAACATTACTTTCGAGATCATTATAGTATTCTAGAAAGAAATTGCTGAAATAATTCTAAAACATTGTTGCTAATTTTTAGCACGGTTAAATATCTCGGTAATTACAGTTAATTATGTAAATATGTTGACGTTATATAATTCAATTAAAATATGTCAAAAATGAATCATGTTTCTTTGTTATGTGTGCGTGTTTCCTTCTAGGAACTATAAATGGCAGAAATTATTTATCGTCCATTATTCGTCGGCCTTGTTGGCAGATTTACGTTTTACGTAACTGTGAACTTTAAATCCAGTAAAATAGTTTTTGAGATTATTGCATTGCATTTTTGACAGTTTAAATGTTACATAAACAACGTAGCTATTTGCATAAACAATGTAAACATATTTGCTTTAAATGTTACAGGATGCCGGGTACGTCGAGCAAAGCAGTCAACTTAGGTTCCTACAACTATTTGGGATTTGCACAAAATGAAGGAAAGTGTACAGATACAGTGGAAACATCTATATGTACATACGGCGTCGGAGTGTGTACTACACGTCACGAATTAGGTGGGTGTTCGGCAGCGGAGGGGCACCGAAAGTTAGTTATTTTGCCATCGATAAAACTGCTGTTCCTCTTTCAGGCACATTGGATATGCACGAAGAATTGGAGAAGCTAGTCGCAAGATTTCTAGGCGTAGAAGATAGTATAGTAGTAGGAATGGGATTTGCCACTAATTCAACATGTATACCGGCCTTAGTCACTAAAGGGTGTCTAATATTAAGTGACGAATTAAACCATGCCTCTTTAATTCTCGGGTGCCGACTTTCGGGCGCCTCGATCCAAGTTTTCAAACATAACGGTAAATTGCATACACTTCTAAATTTCGGAAATAACGTTTTTATGGATTTGAATATTTAATTAAAACTTGTTCATTTAGATATGGGAGACTTGGAGACTAAATTAAGAACTGCTCTTATTACCGGGCAACCCAGGACACTCCGTCCTTGGAGGAAAATCATCATCATCGTCGAAGGAGTATATAGGTCGACAAATTTCGAGTCTTGTCATTTTAAGATATTTTGCATTAAATTATATTGTAATTTCAAAAATTTTTATTTTGAATTTTAGCATGGAGGGTACCATAGTCAATCTACCAGATATTATTCATCTGAAGAAAAAATACAAATCCTATCTCTATTTAGATGAGGCCCACAGCATCGGTGCTTTGGGCACCAGCGGCAGAGGCGTCGTCGACTATTACGGCTGTGATCCAAAAGATGTAGATATATTAATGGGAACGTTCACCAAGAGTTTCGGAGCCGCGGGAGGCTACATTGCAGGCTCAAAGGTACAGTAACAGGCATAAATTATTTAAATAGTCTGTCAGATTCTTCTAATTTTAGACTGTAATTTCACGTCATGCATTTGCACAATTTCAAATCACTATGTTTGTACTGAATTATTAAATGGGGTTTATAGACCAGATTCGAAATCCATATATTGATTATTTAATAAAATTTTATTAGAGCTCGTACGTTAATCCATTTTCTGAACAATAAGATGATACGTTTAAGCTTTCGCAGATGGTATTAATATTAATTCTTCTATTTTTAGGATCTTATTAACTATCTACGAAGCAATTGCTACAGTTTTAGTTATGCTACGAGTATGTCATCGCCGGTTGTATGTCAGATAACTTCAGCTATGAAAGTTATTATGGGTGAAGATGGAACTAACGAAGGTAATCTGAGATATTATCGATGAAAAAAACATCGAAAAGTAATTGATTCTATATAACCTAAATTGTCGAAAGCTAAAAATATATCGCGCTTATCGACATTTAAAAATTCGATTTCGTTAATTTCCAAATGAGGCTTCGTTTTAAGCAGAGAGAGAACTAACTAATTCGTCAACATGTCGATTTTTAGTACCGACGCGAAGATTTTAACAAATTAAACGGGGCAAATCGATTTAGACAAAAGCAAATATGCATTTGCATTGTAATTTTTAGATAAATGCAAAACAAATATTGATTATAATAAGCAATCTTTGTAACAGTAAAGCTATATCTAGGTCATATCTATTCAATAAGTTGCCACGAAACAGTAGAAAAATATTTAGATTAATATTATAAACTTGGCATAGATCTGCTACAAAATTTGTTATTAATCGTAACTTAAGTCCTTGTTATTATATATTATTCTTTACCTTTATTTCGCTTCTCTTGATTGAACTAGAAGCTAAACCAGAAGAAATATAGCACCTTGCACTCCTAAATCCTAGAAAATAATTTTAAAACATTGGCTTAATTTAACACATCATCAATAACAATGTATACTAATGTATAATAGCAAAATCATAGAGTAATTTTATATAATTTTTTCTAATTATTGTAATATATATTATTAATGCTTTGCCATTGAAAGCTTGGAAATTTGAGGCAAACAAACATATACTAGGAAATTGTTAGAATATTTTAAATTAATTTAATACGTCTGTAAAGGCATTTCAAGATAAACTATCAGTTCAAAAATATAATCAGTTAATCTGAAAATATCTGTATATAAGGTTTTAGTTTTCCAAATTAAAACAGATGATAAAATTATCAATAATTTTTGAAATAGAAATGCACATTGCAAAATATATTATAAAATTTCAATATACTGTCTTGATTATTTAATTAATTGAAACAATTATGAAGCTTTCTCCTTACAGAATATCAGGCGAAGTGCATTATAAATAAGTAGCCGTCGAGCTTATCGATTTGTTATAAATTACAATCATTTTGTAAAAGATTTGCTAGGTAATGTTCGTGTCAACATCATTGACAGATATAAGATTGCTTCATTTTTGAGGTTCTCCTAATTACGATATCGTTTAAGCGTCTTCTAGGCGATAAATGATTTGTCATGCCGTGAGTCGACGGTTTACGAATCATTTGTTTGGCCTACATTTTTATCTAATCGTTCGCTTATCGAAATGTTCTATTTGTCGAGTTATTGATTATTTTAAATTATGTAAGAGTGATGATTTTAAGTCATAATAATATTAATAGAATCCATTTAAGATTATTTTAATAAGATATTAAAATCAATATTCTCCGTTTTTAAATTAGAAATCAATAAATTGATTCATGTCAGAAATGATATTGATCTTTTTCCTTATTTTTGATCGTAAGGTGATTTAATAGAGAGGAAAATTATTTTTACTTTTAGTTATAAAATCAATTTAATGAGATAGAATTCTATAATATAAAGTAATACTATAATTTTTTGTTTTATATTATGCATACAGGACAGCAACGAATTACTCAGTTGGCTCAGAATACCCGATACTTTAGACAGAAATTGAAAGAAAAGGGTTTCATTATTTATGGTAACAAAGATTCTCCCGTCGTACCACTATTATTATATATGCCGGCAAAAATACCGTAAGTGATTTTAAAATGTAAATTATTTGGAATTCTTCCTTATATTACAGATTATTTGATAAAATTTATGCATGCGTATATGTTCAGCGTATGTGTATATATAATGTATGAAGTATTCAGCTAAACTAAAATTTATTGTCTATTGTATTGTTCATGTCTTTCTTACAATATCAGCTATTTTCGATTATATTAATCATTCTAGAAAGAAATTAATAATAATTTTCTTTAAATGTTATAAGTAAATTGTTATTGTTTATTAATTACCATAAATTTTTTAATTCAAAATACATTCAAATATAAACGATGCAAGTCAAAACCGGTTATAAAATGATCAATTTCTGTCCGACCGGAGACTCTTAAAAGTTCTTACAAGCTGCATTTTTAATATTAATTGCTATGTATATTATGATAATATAATTGTTAGCCATTCTGGTTTGATCTTTAATGATCGATAATAATAATAATAATGCTAACATTGCTTTATCCTATACTAAAAATATTAATGTACAGTACATAAAAATGCTATAAAATTTTAGTTTTTCAATTTTGTTTTCTTGATATAGTATTAATGTTAATTAATGAATGTAATTAAAATATTCAGTTTCGAGGCAGTTTCAATAAGATAAATATAATTTAACAACACATGGTGGAACCTCAATAACTTGATGCCTTGTGGATAAAACTGTGTTGAGTTAACAAGGTTTTCGGAAAATTTTAAATGGTTGGCGGTGTCGTTAAATACAGTATACACAATTTGGCATGCTTTTTGAGTTTATTCGACTTTGTCTTGCTTCAGTACATAAAATAATAGTGAAATTCATGAAATTGCCTGTCTAATGAGAATTTGCATACAAGTGATCGTTTAAATTATCGTACTGTGTTAGAGTATTAGCCTAAATCGCATTACAATAGCTTCTTTGACGAGACGGAAGTTGGACATCTATGTGCATTTTCTTATGGGTTTTCATTGGTATACCATATTCTTTTTCAGCATTTCCTGCTTATGGGTTTTCTTAGAATTTCTACCTTTTCTTTTAAGTGTTAATGACCGTAGCCCACGTAGAGCGATTGTAAAATATGCAGCCAGCTACTTTACACAAATGAAATTTGAGTAATTAATAAGCAGAACTGTAACTAGATGGTGCCCTCCTAGTGAAGGAATTGAGATAACAGCAACTTTTGTGGTGGGAGAGAAATAAGAGAAAAGTAAGCCATATAGAGGTTTCTTCATACAATAGAACAGCAGATTCTCAGAAAAACTTGCATTTTCTTTTTAATATGTCAAGTGTAGGTCAGGTTAATAGGGTCACCTGTCAACAATGTAGACTCACGAGGTTCTCTTGTAGAATAATACATTAGACCAATTAAAATACAGAAAAATGTTGAGTTATCAGAGAGTCGAGATAATGGGGTTTTACCAGAGTAGGATTTTCGATGGTTTGAATTGTACTTGTAACTGTGTTTTCAATATTAAGATTTTCCCAAAAAATTAAATATTTGCATTTTTTCTTTTTTCTATCTACTTATCATTCCATAGTATTGTGTGATAAGTAATTTTCATTGACCTGAATTAGTTTAATTAATTTAGAATCGAGGGGCTCTGTGGAAAAACAGCATATATCACATTAGGAAATTCCAGAGGAAAGGAGGATTTCTTTGTTAATTTGCTGCCACTTTAACATGTAACATTTTGTTAATGTGGGTATACAACCCTTGGAGTATGTATTTCCAATAAGCCCCTCGATTAGTGAAGAAAACTGATTTGATTTAAAATTGTCAATAAAGAATGTTTAATTCAATTTGTTGTGAAAGATAACGTAATTATTTTGCCTTTCTTATGAACCTCGCTTCTTACAATAAATATTTGTTTAGGGCCTTCGTCCGGGAATTACTAAAGCGCGGAATAGCGACGGTTGGGGTCGCCTTTCCCGCCACGCCGCTCGTCGAATCGCGAGCACGTTTTTGTATATCCGCCGCTCATACACGTGAAATGTTAGATAAGGTAAGAAATGGTACAAGTCGAATATACTTTGGAGATCATTAATTATCGTTCTTATTTGTTTTTAAATGTATTTTAAGGCACTATCTGCTATAGATGAAGTTGGAGATTTGCTCAGGCTAAAATATTCCCGACATTCCAAAAACAACGTAGGTAGTCATTGACTGTGATAGTACAAAACCAACTCCGGAAGTGTATGATCTGTGTTTGTGGAGGTGAGTAGAAAAAATTTTGATGTTTTTAATATCCAATGTATTGAAAATAACAGTAACAGTTTAAGTTACAAAAAAACTCAAATTCAATAATCTTTTAAAAAATAATTTAAGGTCTTTTGTGCTAATTTTATTTAAAATTTTGAGGATTTAAAATCGATATTTATTATAATTAAATGAAAGTAATTAGTCACTAAACAAAATTGTTTATATGTAAAAAATCTTGATTTCTTTACATATAAACAATTTCTTTGTTTCTTGATTTCTGGTTAGGTTTGTCCTACCAGAAATTTTAGTTTAGTTAGTAAGTTAATGTTTATAAAAAATTTGGGGTCTTGCATATTTGTCTTTTGTCCAGCCATTCGTCTCATCTAGTTTGTCATTGTGTTTGTTTCCTTTTTTATGCTGTCTGTCTAGCTGTTAAGTAGTATTAAGATTCACACTCACGTTCAGTTTCATTAACAGTAAGTAGTTATGTCTTNCTTTTTTGCTGTTTTCATAACCGTAAAACGAAAAATTACGATGGAAGCAATATATTTAAAACCTTTCTGGGACTTTTTGTATGTTGGACACTTCTACTGTGACGTAGTTTTCGTGCTACGTGTTCTGCTAGCACGTGCATCCGTACGACGATCGTGACCAACGGAGTGCTAATCGGAGTCTGATCGAAATACCAGCATTTAAGGTGTTCGTATTGGTCGAGCACAACATTTGTGACGCAACAGCTGTAAACGGCTTAAATGCTCTAAAAAATGAACTATATATTGGTAATCGCCCACCAGTGGCCGAGCGGTCTTCGTACCCTAAACACTGAGTTCGGTCGTGAGTTCGCGCCGCGATCGGACAGGCTGGCTGCTTGGAGTTTTCCGGGTTTCTCCTTGCCGATAACGACTAAATAGGAGGCCCGTTCCCCATAAAAGTCCTCCCGGAAGGCATTCTTTTTCCTCGCGTAACATCGCGCCCCAGAGAAGGCAACGGGAAACCACTCTGGGTACTAACCTTCCCTAGTAACACCTTGGCGTATTATTAACTACTTACTAATCTGCGCCGGGTGNGCTGTCTGTCTAGCTGTTAAGTAGCATTAAGATTCACACTCATGTTCAGTTTCATTAGCATAAAGTAGTTATAAGTCTTCTTACTAACAGCCACTTGGCACTAACTTCTACAATTAGCTATTTGTGGCGGCACTGAATCATTGGTGTTCGCTACACTCGGGTTTTCTTTTAGACCCTTCGGGGGGACTACGGCCCTGCAGCCAAAAAACTGCACATCAACATCAAACATAAAGGGTACTGTAGCTATACGTACACCGTTCACAGGGATCCTACCTTTCTCTACTATCTATATCCTCTCCCTCCTTCTTCCCCGCCTCTTTCCCTTACCCTCTTTTCTGCTGGCTAAACACCTCGTGTACAGCCAAAGTCTTTCTTGTATGTATGTATATGTAAAGAAAACAATATCATTCTGTTGATTTATAGATATAAAGTAGTCTTATCATCATTATTTTAAATAAATTTTTGCACACCATATGCCATATTTGAATCATATATTTGTAAACGAATAAAAGCACTTGATTTTGTGTAACCTAAATGAAAATTACTATGCAATTAACCATTTTAAAAGCTAAAATGGTTGCTATTAACTAATTTAGTAATTACGTTATCTTATATAAGAAAAATTCTGAATGAAAATAGCTTTAAATATAACAATAAAACTATAGTGCATAAGTTACTTTACTAGAGGCCAAATTTACTGTCCAAGAAATGTTTACAATACCAAAGAATTAAAAGCAATGGTTAGAATTTTCAATATCTGTGGTATATTTCTTGTAATATCTGAGTAAATTTAATTTACTTCCATGTTTAAGTTGTATATGCTGACATAAGTAGCATTATTTGTAAGCATGTCTTACTATTGTACGTAGCAATCTTTGGTGAGTTGCATAAAACACATAATAGCAAAATTGCTGTAAATATGCTTATGCTTTATTGCACTAATCCACACAATTGTAATCTTAATTATATCTTTATATAAGAAAAATTGCATACAGAAAATTAAAATATGTATTTATGTAGTAGTGTTTTGATTATCTAAGGTAATGTAGATTGAACACACTTAGAATGGTCTTAAACTCTGATAATAGATACAAAGTGTTTGATTTTATGACTGTATTCTTGTAATTTGGCAAAGTTTAATGATGATTACAACTAATATTTTATTTGTAGTCTTTAATATTTGCAAGACTGAGAGGTAATCGGAATAAACACCTTCAAACTCGTAGAGTATTGCACATTACCAGGCCAAGATCCAGAAAATAAACTATACCATACTATTTGCTCTTGTCTGTATTGAAAATATATAAAGTCAGTTAACACATTCTGTTTAAAATTCAAAGAAATTCATTATAATCATTTCTAAAAGGAAAAGCTTTCTTTCTTATACAAATTATTGATAGTATTGTAGTGTAAAATTTGTATTTCTTGTTTTAAATTACTGAAAAGTGTAGAATACAAACACACACACCTTAGAAAATTAAAAAAAATTCACCTTATGTTTACCTGAGAATATATAAGAATTCTCTAGTACTGATTTTAATAAATTGAATATTATTATTCTGTACACGACTCCAACTAATATATTCTTTAAGGCAAGTCTACAAAATTTAATTTTGAAGACTTGTTGCAAAGAACTACCATAAAAGTGAGAGACAAAAATATAAATTTTATAGAAATTTAAAATTTGCTACAAACTTTAAACATGTATTATTTATAATGTTACAATAAGTGTAACGTGTGTGATAACATCAAAAATACAATAAGCGTTTGTGCTGTGTAAGCTTATTTTGAATTGCTATTTTTTCAACTACTAAATTATTTTTTTTTATCATATTATGTGTTTACTAAAATTCAATGTACAGGACGTATACATTTATATTAGATTGTTATTTCTTATTTATATGATTAAAATGATTAATCCTTATATTTACGAAACTTTTAAGATTTCAAAATGGTAAATTGAGTCATTAAGCTGAATCGGAGTTTACGTAAATATAAAAAAGCGTTCGTAGAAACGAGTCAGAGTATTTTACGTAAAAAAGAAAATATAAATATTTAAATAAACTTTATAATTGAGAAATTACAACTTAATATTTAATGTTTGTGTGTAATTATCAGTTTGGCTTCATTAAAATTTATAACTGTCCTCAATAACTATAACAAAATCATTTATTTATAATTTCGAATTTTAACATACTACTAAAATTTCTTTCTTACAGCTGTTTAAAACTATTTTACGTAAGAGAAAACAAAATAAAAAGCGTACAGTTGGTCAAATAGATAAAATTATACATGTACATTTATACATTATGTAAATACTAGTCTATTACAAAACTTGAAGCTTACCAAATAGCGTATTATTATAAACACAAAGATTTCTCAATACTCGATGTTTATCATTTAAGTTCTGAAATAATTATCAATAATAATCTGTACAACCTCACAAGATTTCTTCTTATTTTATATATTAATCTCTATTCGAAACTTCACTAAAATTTTACGTTCGCTTGAAAGTATCGATGTGTTAATTATATTCGGAATGCATTAGTTATATAGAACTAGTATTTTGCATAAATATGATATTTTAAATTTAAAAAGTTCTTTAATTTTTCAATTATTAACAATTAACATTATTGTTCTTTTGATATCAATTGTAATTAGTAAATTATCAATTACATTAGTTTCGGTTCGGAACACTTATTGCGTAATGTGCCCACCGAACAATGCTCCTTCCTTCATAAATGTATAAATTATGTTATTGTTCTGTTTTATCAGTAATTGTTAAGTATTAACATTAGTTCTATAATTTTTTTTTATTGGAAATTTATGCTAGTCCTTATGTTTTTAAAGACTTCTAACATTTGAATACAAATGGTGTGTGTGTATGTTTCATTCCATGTGTGCATCACAATAATTCATGCTTCTTTAAATACCTGCTTTATAAAAATAAACACTGTTAAAATGAAACACACTAGCTTGGCATTGTGCCAATGCAGATTGTGCTGGATTAGTTAGTATGCCTAGATATGACTTACAGATTCACTATTTTTTATTGCTATATTTTGTCACATTTTTCATGCAGATTTGATAGTGATTCTCGAAAATGTACTTCATGCGGTTATTCACATTTATGGATTAAATTTTCAATCCGTCGGCTTTGCCGATCGGTGATCCGTTTTGTGGCCATTTATGTTTTTGTGACTTTCGGAAAATTCATTGCAATATCATTAATTTGCTTTAAACAGAATTTTATTTAAATGTATAACTCATATTTATTAAATAACTTTCTTAACATTTAACTAGCAAGTATATAGTTTTTTGTATTATTGAGATAAACTTAAAATTTTGACAAATTTCTCTTTTGGAGAGAGTGATCAGGAATTTTATGACTCGTTTACAAAAACACATTTATATTGAATTGTCCAATCACTGTAAAATTCTGTATATGGCTATCTCCGAGTTGTGTTAATGATTACCATTGTGGTTCAATTGCACCCAGGCAAGTGGCTTGCTGTATTCTGAATTTTTATTGTATCTGTTGTTTGGAGCTCTTAGAATGCCTGTTTGATACAATCAAAGACATTTGTCTTTGATTGTATCAAAGAAATGCATAGTTAATGGAGTTTGATGAAGGCCACGTTGTTGAGTTGAGGCGAGTGGGAAGGCAGTTTTGCCTGTCATCTAAGATGTTATGAAATGACTGTGAAGTGTTGAGGCCATTGGATATATCAGGCTATGCACATATGGCAAGCAAGTTCTGGATATCCCAGAGAGATGATTGTCTAATGTGAGATGAGCAAAAACTGTTGTCATGGTATCTTTGACTACCATCCAAATGGGTGAAAGCCTCACTAAAGAACTTTATTTCTCCCCTTATCATTAGCAGGGACAAATTTGAATGCATAGTGACCTCTATACATCTTGCATTTAGAATCCTCACATTATTGT